GTGCAAAAGCTGATCGAGAACAAATGGAAAATCTTGAAAAGAGAAACTCTGTTCTAGAACGAGATGTGATGCGTTTTAACAGCAAGAAGCAATCCTAAAGAATATAATTTTATTGAACCAAAATATTAATTTGGTAATCTATAATTATTTTTTATTTGCACATATTAAGGTCAGATTATTTGAAATAAAAATACCATATGCTCGATATTTTGTCGCCAAAGACGAATACACCGAAGCGAAAAAAATTATCAGTCTGCTCTGCGCATTATAATAGTCTGGTTCAAATGAAATTCATTCGTTTAATCATTACTTAGGAGATTGGAAATGCCGAAAAAACATCATCACTAGAAAGAAAAAGTTTGTATGATCAATATGTCAAAACCATGCGACAGATTGAACAATGTGCAAATAAAGTTACAATTGTTAGCGACGATGATAATGATGATGATAATGATGATGATAATGATGATGATAATAATTATAATAATAATAACAATAATGAAATTATCTAAAAAAGGAAAACGAAAGCGAGACCTTCAGAAACAAATAAGGCTCTTAAAAAGAAAAATAAACGAATTGCACGTCTTCAAGCAGAAATTGCTGAGTTAGAGAGTATTGTTAACGAGCCACCGCCAGAAGTCAATATGAGCGGTATTCAACGACAATTGGTGGCGTTTTTTTTTTTTTTTTTTTTTTTTTACTTGGATAATTTGAAATGAATGACAATTTGTCGATTTTTGATGATTCTATTTATCTTTATTATTGATCATGCTATTCTACTAATATTTTTAGACTCAGACAAATAAAATAAATAATTGCAAATAAATATAAAAGATAATTTAATGCAATATAAGTATAAAAAAAAGTAAAGTAATTGCTATTTTCTTCCAATAAAACGCAGTATTTTTCTTTTGATATTGCTTTATTTTGTTGGAGGTTTTTCATCATGAATCTGTAGTTTTTCTTGCAAGTTACTCGACATCTCTTCGTTCTCTTTGATTTCGTGTGGTATACTCAAATCGAAATCGCTTGGAACAAACAAACTGACACTTGTCAACCCTAAACATTCGGATATACTGTAAGTTTTAATTAACGTGAAACGATAATATTATTTATACTTAGAAATAAAAAGTACCTGTCTCAGTTGGAATTGAAATTAATTTTGAAGTAAAAATTCGACTGGTGTAAACTGCGTTTGAGTGGATTTCGGGTTTTTTATTCGTATTCGTAGGAACGATTTTCACCTTCTCGTCAAGTCCTTTCCATTTCTGCTTTTCTAGTTCAAG